TCAATTAAATTTTGGATTTTTAGTTATTTTTTTCGAATTCCTACTTTTAATTCAACTCCAGTTTGTTTTTATTGGTAGTTCAATCTCCATTTTGGACTTTCAGTGCCGGAGGACATCTTCGGAGCTTCAGTCATGGAGTTCTCTGTCTCTCCCTCTATCTTCCTCTTCTCTCTTCTCCCTTATAACAGTATTGTGTTTTCCTATTATTTTCCCATATATGAAAACAAATAACAGAAAGTTAAATTTTTATACTTTTCCATCTCATTCCACCCAAATCTTCCCACAAACCAAACAGAACCTAACAGAAAACTAACTGTCATTCTCAAATGAGCTCCATCATCTGGAGAGTAAGAACAGGGCTGATCAGTGATAAGTTTTTAAAACCCAGTATTTTCAACCTGTTGGTGACTGGGCCAGTTGGGCCGATGAAGGGGTCATAGTATTAGTACCAAATCAGGCCAAATTCCAACCTGTTATTCTTTTAAAAACCCATTGACTTGGTCAACAACCCATTGATTCAGGTGATTGATGACATCACAGGTTGAACCACTGAATGACTTATTCTCTAAAACACAAAGCAAGAAGTCATTCACTCCACCTACTTTCAGCTATTATTAAATGTCCCCTTAGATAATAGCTAAAGTTCTCAATCAAAGACGTTAATGAAGTTTATCAGCATTAACTAATCTAGTTGAGAGTTAAACTAGGATATGTATCAAAGGTCAGGAAACATGAAAACTCCAAAATCCAAATATACCAACAGAAAAGTGAACAGATTTGTCATTGTACATTCAAACCGTATGGCATTCCACCTTCCAAGTGACAACATAGATTTAGGGCCCAAAGATGTAGGTTTTCAGTTCATTGTTTTCTTATGGGATAATAAAATAGTTTTACTACATAAAACACAATAAAAGAAAAGGTATTAATCCGGATGACTGGAGCCAATATCTTGTTTCTTTTATTATGGCCCTTAAAATGGCATCATACACCACATATCTGGTACAATATTGCATCATTCAGATTAGGGGTGTCAATGGTCCAAATTATTTATTGGATTGGATTGGACCTGGTCCATCCATAATGAATTTATATTGAATTAGGTTGGATTGAACCAATATCTGATTCATTGATAGAAGATAAGAACATAAATGTCAATGGACCAGGTTTGGACTAGAATTAATCTAAATTAAAACAAATTTGAACAGATTGGGCAGTCGGAACATTGAATTGAACCGATCCAAAATGGTCCAAAATATTCATTGGATTGGATTGGACTGGACCTGGTCCATTTGTAATGGACCCACATTGGACTGGATCAAATTGGACCAAATCCAATCCGATTGATACCCCTAATTCAGATGGGCTTCATGTCTACCATACAAGTAATCAAGAATTTTTATTAAAAATATTGTGAAAAGAGAGAGAGAGAGAGAGAGAGAGAGTCACTTATTGACTAATTAGCACTGTGGTATTTGCTTTAAGCACATCTTCCACTTTAGCAGCGGTGTTCAACTGTTCATCCAGCCATACACAAAGMTATGGGTTGATGATATGGATAATGGAACTATCAATCATAATCTTCTCCTTTGTCTGCCTTACCCCATCTAAACCCTCCATATTAGTCGCATTCCTTTTCTATCCATGGTCCAACATTCTTTGTTCATCTCTCATATAGGAGGATTCCAGCTCCTTGTAGACAAATGACCCATCCTAGTGGGAGTGGATTTTATGAATGACTTCTGCATGGTTTCAACCAATGTATTAAAAACCGATCCGAAGGCTGAATTATTTTAGCCTCAGGGTCGTGGGTAAATGGTTCAACAATTCGGGTTGGATAGGTCATAAATCACAAAATATTTTCTAAATTAGCAAAAAAAAAAAGCGCAACTCCAGTCAAACAACCAAGGACAGAATTATGGCCTTTGAAAGTTTTTAATACATTATATATTATAACCCACGACTCAACAATCAGATCAAACAGGTTAAAGGTCAAACCTCTCAAGTCAAATGGGTTTTGACCAAATCAACAATGAAAAAAAAAAAAAAACAGAAGTAAAACAAAATAACAGGTTTGGTTTGAAAACATTGACCTTAGCTTGCCTTTTTCAATTTCCACTGGTTCCACCATATTCCTGTTGGGGAAGGGCATTATTTTAGAGGAATTGCATATGGCGTTGTTTACTAGCATCCAACATGTCTGTTTTCATGGGCTCCATGTTCCAAAGAGTTTCATATGACATAGTTAGATTTGTACTTATATCCGGCCATTATTGATTCAAATCAAAAAGTTCTGAGGAGGGAGTACAAATGCAAATTTGTAGTGAAAACTTTATGTCTGTATTATTTTGTATATATTTACATTTGTACTCTTCCAAAACTGAACCTTAAATCTTACTGTTTGGCACACCTGACCAGCAACATGCAATTCCCATGTGATATAATCACAAGGCATAAAAATCCAGACTAGACTAGTGCATCACCCACAACACTTCTTCGCATGGGAGATTTTCCTTGTGTTGTTTCGTTGCCTATCCAAATCATTAAGGTTGAATTCCGTGGATGAATATAATATTCGAGATATAGATGGCCCAATCTTCTCAAATATACAAATTTTATATGAATGATTTCTAAGTCGTTCAACTCGGGGATATAGTTTAAATGATAGAGCACTTGCTTTGCATGTGAGAGCTACAGGGTTCGATCCCCTACATTTTCATTTTTTTCAATCTAATTTTTGCCATTTTGTGTAATAGATAGAGACTAAAGGTGTAAATCGAGTTGTGCCGCCGTGTCAGGCCCGGCATGATCATGCGGGCCGTGTTGGGCCTAGGGTTTTAAATCCATGGGCCAACATGACTGAGCAGGCTGTGCAGCCCGCAGGCCGACACGACTCATATATATTTTTTATATATATTTATATATTTATATAATATTAATTAAATAATAATATATAGTATATAGTACATAATATATTAATATAATAAATAATTTTATTTAATTATTGTATATATAAGCAATTATATACATAAAATTCATATAAAATTAAAATTTTAAGTTTTTTGCCAATTTTTTTAAATAAATAACTTTGACTTGATGCACGGCCAGACCTAGCCCAAGGCTCAACCCACAGTCCAGCCCGACCCACAGCACGACACGGGCCCACACGGGCCTAGGCCATGGACCGTATTGGGTTGACCCCAAATTTTTCATCGAGAAGGGTGGCACAGCCCATAACGGCCCGCAGGCCGGGCCAGCACGACCTACAACTTAGCAGTATCCAAATCAATCTTTAATCAATTCTTTTTTTTTTATGAATAAAAACACAAAGAAAAACGAACATCAAAGTGAAAACAGAACTTTTCTGGAATATTTACATCTGACATTTCCACTGCTTAAATAACATAACTTTTTTAAACCAATAGTCTTTTATTGGTTTGTGTGAGAACAAAGAGTTTGCGTGAGAACATAGAGTTTGCGTACGATAGAGAGTTTTCCAGTCGATTCAAAACCCCTCACTGTCTGGGAGGGGTCTCCCTCTCTCATCAGCGATGCGAGTATCCCTCTTGCATCGCTTGATGCAAGTTTTCCTCTATTACCATAGATTTTTGATAGATAGGGTGAATTTTTGTTGTTTTATTTGCTTTTTTTTGTGTTTTCTTTTGTTGGTCGATTGTTGTCTTGTTCCTCTGGTTTCTCCCTGTAGGTTTTACATACAATGGCTTGATCTTTGTTTTGAGAAGTGGTTCATCCTCTACGACTTGTTCTTCATGGGCTTTATTTTCATGAAAGCTGAAGATGTGGTTGTTTCTAAAATCGCTCTGAATGGTGACATCTGTTCTAGAAAGAAATATGTGGATGCTTTAATGACGACTTTGTTTGGGAGTATCATCTTTCTTGGGATGCTTTCTAGTGTGGTGTATTCCAGTGAGTTGTTCTTCAATGAAGTGGATTATTCTTTGTTCTAGGATTCTAGCATATCTTTTCGGTGCAGCCCAATCATTTTCATTCAGTCTCCTGCACTGTCCAACCTTTCAGTTATTGGAGGAACCATTTTTTGGTACTTTTGTCAAACCATGTTCTCTTTTAATGGGGGTGTGGCCTTTTCTTGCCTCATGCCTAGGGACAGTTTGCCTTGGAAGGAGTTTTATTTTGCAAGATAACTATTACGTCTAAGCCTGGGTGAGACAATGGTTGGCTCTCTTTTCACTTTTCAAATCTGAAGTTTTTAGTTGCAATTGCCATAGAACGGGTGACTTTGGCAATTTTTTCTCTGTCCCCATCAAGGTTCAAAGTATCGGAAACACTATGCATATTGGAAAGGCAAATTTAAGAGACGATCAAGATACACCTTGGATACGCATGGATATGGACGAAAAATTAAGATACGCATGAAAACGCATGGAAATGCTATAAATATTCTAATAAATCATAAATAAACATCAATATCACTAAATATAGGACATAAATGAGCTATTTATGCATAAAAATAGCACGTTTTAGCGGGTTTTATGAAAAAAACATATTATAATCAATAAACGGGAAGTTGGGAACAGAAACATACTATCTAATTATGGACATAATAGATCAAGTAATTATTTTGCATGTTTTATTCTAATTTTCTAAAAACGAAATAATTATTTTGCATGTTTTATTCTAAAAATTAAATTAAAATTAAGAAAAGTAAATATGTAACAAAAAACTCAATGGATTTATAAACATAATAGATGAAATAATTACTTTTCATTTCTAAAAGTAAACTAAATTTTAAAAAAATAAATAAATATCAATGATTCAATGTTTTAAAACAGAGAGGTGTTCCACTACCTAGAGGCATGAAGCATAGTTCAGAACGCAAGAGGCGTAAGCTTCCTTAAGAGGAGAGGAAGGAAGAAGGGGGGATTTCATTTTTTTTCTTTATCTTTAATAAAAATCTTTTATATTAAAAATAAATAAAAATGCATAACATTTGTTAAAAGAGGGGGGGGGTCTTGTCGAAATAGCACCATGGATACTTTATATGCTTTTATTAATCCTTACTAAACATTTATACTTGTGGAAGATTATTATGGTTTGTACATTCTTGACTAAAGAGTTTATTCTAGCTATATACACCGGTTGCTCAATCAACAACTTAACATAGCCACCTCACTCAACTAAATTGGGCAATTAGAATGCTTACACAAAATTTACAGTAGGTATACCTTCTTTATTCCTCTCTGGGGATCCACCTGCTCCACCATAGGCTGTTTCTACGTCGGTTGAGTTCATCAATGCTCTCATTTAGTGTTCTTATAATCTTCCTCTGGAGTCTAAGCACGGATGCAAGAGCATTCCATTGAACACTTGTCTTATTCTTTGGTCCCATTTCCTGGATGAAAATAAAACATAAAAGTGAACAAAAATTCTTTTGATGGGTATTAATTTAAATTATTGTTCAGACAGACCCTGAGCTCCTCAAGTTGAGCTTCAGTCAATCCACCATCCTTCTTCGTCCCAGATTTTGCCAGAAGTTTGATTACCCACTTGGCTGCTTCACTATAATCCTGCTGAGTAGCACGAAACAGCTGCAGCCGCAAGTTCTGCATGAAAGAAAGAGCCAGTAGACCTTCCCTATCAAAATATGGATGAGCTAAAGCAGCCTTAGCACTGGTCCTTTGCCGTGCTTTGTACCGAACCATAGATGTGAGAAGTTCCCACCCTATCCCACCATCTAAATCCAGTAACTCAAATCCTCTCCTGAGTTCTGGGCTGGCACGATGCTCTACAGTTTTCCTCCATTCAGCCAAATCGTATCCACATCTTTTCAGCTGGCGGTTGAATTGTATGAGGCTACTGTCTGTGCGTAATGATGGGAATGCCTAGAATAAGAACCATATATGCTGAGCCAAAATTAAACAATATGAAATCCCATAATGACTTAAGATTGCAGTAGTAAAAACAAATAATCATTGAACTGATGTGGCATGTGAGAACTGACAACACAACTAGGAAAATGTGATATTATAGTCTATTTTTCCTTTTTTTCCAATCAATAAATATAATATAATAGTTTTCTTTGTTACTTGCAGTGAGGATTAAAGACTTAAGTCTTCCAACAACAAAATGAATAGGCACAGGTAACCAATTAGCCAAATCAATCTCAATCAGCATGGTTGCTGCCACATTTATTAGAATTTGGATACAACTTTAACTTATACCTCTGCCCCACGAAAGCGCATTCTTCTCCGAAAACCAGAGGGAAATCAGCATAGTTGGGTCATGACCTGGCCAAATTGTTGGCCCTACTTTAAGTATTCTAGTAACTTTATGAGCTTAGAGGAACCATGGGATGGAAAACTAACAAAAGAGATGACCAAACTTCCAAGTTTCAGAAACAAATCAAGTGATAATTATTGTGATACATGGAAATAAATAGAGGAAACATCCAATCTATCAGGTATATATCAGTCACTCACCATTTGCAAGAATATGAGTCCAACGCTGTATATATCAAATCTATCAGGTAGATTCATCTGGCAAAGAATAATATCATCAAACCACAGAAAATGAACTTCATCCTCTGAAACTTGATTCAAAGAAAAAGTAATCAAGTAGTCCATGGATACAAACCTGCCACAGGACTGGGGACAAAGCAGTCGCAACAGGAGCTGAGGGCGCTGATGGAGTTTGTGTGCTCATGATGTATTGCTCGGGTGCTGCATACCTGAATACAAAAAGGACCATAGAAAATGAAGAATAAAGTATAATAAAAATAGCAACACAACTTTATTATAGAGAAGAGGATAGCAACATTTTATCAGCTCACAACAAAGTTGTGCACAACCTGAACTGAGTGAATAAAAAATACATGGCATAAATATTTAATCCTCTCCTCAGTTTTCTGACAAATACTAAAACCATCCTGACTTTTCTAAAATAACTTTGACGTCCCTTGTTAGCTGGCATGGCAAGACATATACCGCCCTTCTATTAGTCTTTCGTGAATTTCTGTAATAATATGAGCATGCATGAAGTTGGAAAATTTTTAGAAACCCAAAAGCACCCTTATTTGACTTGGCTAGAGAATATACAAATCAGATAACCTCAGCCCTTCACCTGACAGATATGTTGCTCCTCTAAAACCATTGCACTTGCATCAGCCATTTAACCAACTTTGGAGTCCCAATTATCATACCCAATCCAATTATGATCCCTCTGTATCTATATAAAAAATTGATTGTCCAATAACTCCATCATTTAACTGCCCCTCTTGGTAACTTCAACAGGAAACAAAACAAGTAATTTCATCTTCTGTGCTCTTTTAACTCAACTATCGGCTATCCCTTGTATCCATAAATTTCTTAATTACCAGAGAAAGAACAGACCAATATTCCATCCCTCCTTCAAAATTCAAAAACAATCCACCTCCAATTCCATAGTAGAAGCTTACTACCTCATTTGCACCTCTTTAACTAGAGACCAACACTTCAAGAATCTCCATACATCCATCCCACCAAACTTCCCATTTGACATGGGCATGGTATGCATCTGTTCTTGTTTCCATGTTAATTTCTTCTTCATGTGCCAACATCTTGCACATGTGTGTGTATATGTGAGAGAGAGAGAGAGGGGAGGGGGGGGGGGRGATTTGGGAACATTGACAAGCCTAGGTACAACAACATTGAAGACCCAGAGTTCAGGTAGGAGAGATGGGAATATTGAACGGGCCATTGACAAAGCAGTATAAAAAGATCAACAGCCACACAGGAGAGATTAATGCTGACGTGAAGAATTTCAAAGAAAAACAATACATCAATAAACCACAACTAAGAATGTTCTGTTGTGGTGAAATCAATACTAGAATGAATTTCACCTTATGGTACTATGATAGTTTTTTTTCCTCTTCGGAAATGATGTGTTACAGAAATGATTTAACCACTCACAATTTAACAATGGATATGGCATTAAACAGAATGGAATAGCAAAACATGGTTCATGTAGGCAACCCCATACAGTTGGGATAAGGCTTGGATGAAGGTGATGATTATGGTACTAATCGTAGTCTTTTTCAGTTCATTAGAAACGAACTATTACTGTACTTTACATTGTTCAAATACTCTATAATGGAAAAGAATCTACCTTGGGTCCAACAGAAACTCTTTTGGTATATAGTTTATTCCCACTCGCAAGTCAGCTGCAGCCCCAAGGTCAATGATCTTAAATGCCCGAGACCCTGTTCAAGTTTCAATGGAATAGGATTTAGGAAATTAGTTGATCTGAAGAAAGCATAGAGTTGCAAAGCTTATATAACTAACAAATTGCATATTATTCTTACCTTCGGAGAAAATAATATTCTGGGGCTTGATGTCTCTATGAACAATCCCTGTTGAATGGAGTCCATCCAAAGCAAATAAAAGCTGTCTCATGATTGTTTGGATGATTCTATTTTCCCTATCCAATCCCTTTGGTAAATCCTGGACCTCACCAAGAATCATTGTTTCAACCTGTAACGGTTTATGCCTAATAACCAATTAACCCTTGCTGAAATCAAAATTGGTACCTTGGTGGATACAGTGATAACAAAAGATATACATACATAATATATATATATATATATATAACACAAGCATTCCGAAATTACTAATCATACTGTAAGTTCCAAAAAAATGCCCATATTCTTGCAATGAAGATAAAATAACAAGAACATTGCATCATGGAGAACATTAAAAATGCAAAGAAAATAAGATATATGTTGAAAAATTACAAGATCAAAAGTTTATCTCTAAAGTGATCATTGACTAATCCTTGGAAATGGCTACGCATTATTAGCCCTTAACTTATATGTTTCTGTAATCAGGACTTTAAATACCAAACAGAACAGCACATGTAAAGAAAATGATCCACTGCACACTGTTTAAAGGCATAAGCTAACTTCACTATTCAATATTTGGTATTTTTTTTATCAATAAAACAATATTTGGTATTTCTTGCATCAAATTCACAGAGTACTCCATTCATATTCATCTTTAATCATGTTTAGGACATGTGCATTTACGCTAGACCTTTAACAGAATTCTTTGAATGGTACAAGTGACTATAATACATGCATGTACCAAATTGTGATTCACATGGCTATTTTCTGGGGAAGAACATCAAATATCTCTTTGAGGTTTGTTAATGGTGGAATTCCAATTCTGTAAGTTGCAATTAAAGATACTATATGGAATCAATCCATAGAATGAGGATATATTAGACTCTGCATTTCCATGGTTTGTTTTGTTTAATATATCTAATAAGGATTATCCCAGATCTTGCATTCTTACTTCAGTCTAGGAACCTAGGTAATAAAATCTTCAAGAAGCAATAAGAGCACAAAAAAGTGCTTCCTGCAAATCACCTCTCTGAATCCATTGATTCTATTTCCCTATTCTTGAATGCACTAGGATCCTAGTGGTTTGCACAGTGAGGATCACATCATGTGGGGCCATCTAAACTAATCCAGAAGTAAAGTACTAAGGTTGCCATGGAAAGGATGAATTTCAACAAAAAGAAAAATAAATAAGTGCAAGAAATGGGAATCAAATAACCAACTATGAGCATTGCTGGCCAAATAATTTTACCAAATTAAAACCTATAAATTGGTGGCAATACCATTTTTTATGGTAAACGGCACCTTTCATTAATTTGGTGGTAATACCATTTCCAAAGAGTATCCCTGCAGTTCTTTTTATTTCCACTAATTTCCCATTCCTAAGTAAGAAAACCCCCCAAATTGTGTTGAACATGTTATTGTTTATTGGGAAACGAACTCTCAAGCTTAGAAAAAAGAATCAATTCTGTGGTGGAATTACAACTACTACTACTCCAAACAATGCTATGGTTCAAAAAGAGATAAATGTAAAAGTACCAACATTGTAAGGAAAGTCTTTATTCAGCATCAGGTCAGCAAGAGTTGCCTCCCCTTCAAACCGCCAAATGAGCCAGTATTCACCTCCTTTTTTGGAAGATCTCTGGGCCCAAACCCAAGAAACTAAAATTAATCAGAATGCCAACCCAAATATATGGATTTTGATATGTGAACATTCCTGTTCATTTGATAGTACTAATAGTATTAGAAACCATGAAAGATAAACACCTCAAGAAAGCCGTACACAAAATCTGCACAGCTACTTGCACAAGCTCTTCGGACCCTTTCGTTCATCCAAATCTCCACTGCACCATATTCAGTAGCCTTCTTTAAGACTAGATCACCTTCCTTCATGTGACAATCAACAAAATCCAGATATTTAGAATAACATAGCCTCAATTCCTAAACCAATCTGAGAGAGACGAATTTCATGATCTAATTCATATTAAATTAACTTGGACTCAATTATTTTTCACTGATCAGGATCAATTCACGGATTCAGACTACAGTACAGAAGGCAACTATATAACAACTGAAACAGATCGACCCACAAGAACAAGGGTGGTAAAATTAGTACCTTGGAACCAGGTTTCTTTGCCAATGAAACTCTATAGACCGCACCAAAAGCGCCTTCACCCAACTTCTTTCCCAAAACAAAATCATCCTACCAAAACCCACTAGTCCAGAAATCAAAACCAATAATACATAATAACAAAACACAGTAGAAACCAATCAAGACGCAGAGATGATTAAGTATAAAGAAACCTTTCTATAAGTAGGCCTGAAGAGTCGCTCTACAAAGGCAAGAACGAACATGTCCCAGAAACCAGGAGCCACACCAGGGGTAGCCCAGAGGTAAGATAAAGCACCCAGAGCAAGAACAACACCAGGGGCTGTGATGGTGAGACCGTCGGACCTGGGAAGAGTGCTCCGATAGATAATGTCTCCGCACTCCATAACCGTGCAGGGAAGCCCCACCCCGACGCCGATAAAGAGGTGTTGAACGAGATCCACCACATCAACTCCCGCACGTACCAGCGAGAGGATCTTCTTTCCTTCTTTGGGTTGAGAAGAGGTTCTGCTTTCGAGCTTTCTTCCGATAAATGGTGATGGTAAAACAGTTGGGATTCTGGACTTCAAACAGGAACGAAGACCAACTGACACCCCAACTCCTGCAATGGTAGCCATTTCCGTAAACGGCTCTACCAAACTCACCTCAAATGGATTATGGATTTTACTGATATCTTTTGGTGAATAAAATATAAGATTTTATTCATGTGTTTGTTCTACTGTTTCCCGGGTTCGATTTTGAATCGAGATGTTTTTGGGTTTTATGTGGAGGTGAGGAGTTTGTCTGGATTGATGGGTGATACGAACCACAAGTTATGAAGTTACCAGTTGAAACTTTTCAGAGCCTGAAACAATCGTCAGTCTGTCTGAGAGACTACGACAGTGAGACACTGACGACTAGAGTCTTTCTTCTGTTTTCCGGGTTTGATTTTGAAGAGAGATGTTTTTGGGTTTTATCATTTTATGTGGAGGTAAATTGGTTGGATTTATTCGCGATATGAACCACAAGTTTACACGTAGCTGAAACTTTTCAAAGCCCGAAACAATCCTCAGTCTCTGTCTGAGAGCTGAGACTAGAGTGTGTAACCGTGTTTTGTGTCCACGTCTGTCTGCTTGCATAGTGCACAGCTTGCTCTGGACCGGATTGAATCGAAAGTACAAGCGCACGAGCCAGGCCCATTCCCAACAACCCTTGCCGACTGGAATGCCATCATGCCAATGGCAATTCAGCACTCGATGTGTGTCGAGTAAGCTTGTGAAACAAAAAAATAACAAGGCACACAAATCAGAAAAAGACACTCTCGTATTGCAATAGATGGCAAGTACACAAGTTTGTGTAAAGGGACCTTGTACACAAGTTTGTCATGAGCTTGGTTGGTAGGCTTGATGGTGCTCTTGGGGTTGGGGAATCCTATGGCGAATGTTTTGTTTTAAGTCCCTTCCTGGCCACTTCAAGGTAGGACAATTGATGGTTAGGCTTGTTGAAGGGAAAGTTGGGGCCAAGTTTATGGTAAAAGGATCTTTGGATTGTTGGGGCATTGGTTCCCTTGATTTTTCCCCAAAAGGTGTTTGCTCACAAGGTTCCTATGAGGGTTGGCCTGAGGAATGTTGTGGAAAGGATACCTATGTGGATAGGGTGGCACTCGCTCTCCCCAATAGTGATTATAGTGGAAATGGTTGTGGTTGGAGACGACTTCTGGCCTTCTGGGCCTCTTCTGTGTTGGACGCTTGTAGTGATGATGCTGGTGTTGATGCTGACATCAAGGTTGGCATTGGCGTTGGAATGCCTATGGTGGAGATGACTTCCCAACCCGTTCTTGTGCTGATGTGAGATGCTGAAATGGGGTTCTTCCATGTTGCTAGTATGGCACTGGCTTTGTAGGTGTTTGCTTCTTGGTACCATTATAGGGCTAAAAGCTGCTTTCCGTGTACCTTGAGTGCAGTAGTCACTTGAATCATGCAAGGGGAATGCTCGTCCAAGATAAGTAGACTATCGATGTGTGGCATGAGTGTTGTTTCTGCCTACATGAGAAACTTCATTTTGAGGACAACATGCAAATCATCCAATGGAGCCACGGACAGGTTGATGTTGCCCTTCCATGGTCCCAGTTGTAGTTCGACACCATGGGCCAAGCCTTCTACTGTTTTGGCCCCTGAGTTGACGGCCTTGATCCAACCTATTTGTTTGGTAGTGGTTAGGCTAAGTCATTGAGCTTCAATGTGTGAAATAAAGTTGTAGGTGGCTCCAATGTCCACTAAGACTTGAGTCAAGCCTCCCGTTGAGAGTGATGTCTACAAATTTTAGCCCCTTGTGGGCTTTGCTAGGCCATTTAGATGTAGCCTCTTTCATGACCATGGCATTTATGAGTTGGAGAGCACCTACTCTTGGCACTTCTATTGGCTTCTCCTCATCACTCTCTTCAGTGTCACTAAGTTTGGCAATAAGGGCAAGTTTGGCAATGAAGGCATTGACCTTCTTCCGCATGGGGCAATCACTTGTCCAATGCATTTCATTGCAAATGAAGCAAGGTGTAGGAGGTGTGGTGGGTCTCTTGGTGTACTTGTAGCCTTGAGAGTTATTACCTTCTTGTGGTTTCTTTCCTTATTGATAAGCTGGCCTGTTGGGGAATGGCTGTTTTTCTTTGGTGGGAGTTAACCGTGGGTATCCCCCACTCAAGCTTATGGTACGTGGACTAGGTGGTTGATGGTCTGCTTCCTCAAGCTTCTTCAAATCAACAAGTTGTTCAGCCACGGCCATGGCAGTTGCTAGGTCTTTTACCCCTCAACATTGTAACTCAAGCTCGGCCCATGGCTTGAGACCATCCATGAAGTTGAACAAGAGGTCCTTGTCCCACATGTCAGAGATCTCGAGTGCCAAGGCTAAGAATTCTTGGACATAGTCATGCAAAGAGTCCTTGTGCTTCAAGTTCTTCATCTTCCTTCGTGCAAGGTATACGACATTTTCAAGGTAAAATTTGTGCTTGATCTCTCGCTTGAAGTCAGCCCAAGCATTGATGGTGTGTGTGCTACGGTCAATGTCCTGACAACACCTACACCACCATAACATTGCAATATCATTTAAATGCATTGAAGTCATATGTACTTGAATTTGTTCATCATGAATGCTAGTAGCAGAGAAGTATTGTTCTAATTGCCACAAGAAGTTTTCAAGTTCATAGGCATCTCGAGCACCCGAGTATGTTGTTAGTTGCCGTATCTTGACGTGTTCTGGGATCGGAGTAGATGAGGCACAAGAGGAGTTGGCCATTGCCCTTTTGATGAGTATCATCTCATCCAGTTATGCTTGGAACCGGTCCATCAAGCCTTGAAGGCTGCTTTGGGAAGGCCTTGCTTTCAAGCGTTGTAATGTGCCATGGATCTCCTTAAAAGCACCATTGAATTACACTTCTAATTCCACCACCGCATTCTCCACTGTCTTCATGTTGAGGTGGAGTGCATCAACCCAATCTCGAGTTGTCTCTCCTACTATTGCCTCACAACGTAGGATATGCATGTCCATGCTGGCTAATTGATCAATGGATTTGTCCCACTTGCTTGTTTTGGTTGTGCGGCCCTTTGGGGCTTGATTTTTGGTAGGTTCATCGATGGGTGCCTCATCAGTGTCATGGGCTTGAGCCAGCCTGAGTAGTATATCATCAACGATGTTGCAGTTGCTTTTCATTGTCTGTGTTGAATGTGGGTCAGGCAATTGGGTCTGACGTGTATGGAGAAACTCCTACTCTGATACCAATTGTCTCGGGGCTAACTGTTGGGGCCGTGTGCAACACTCAGTGTGTGTTAAGTAAGCCTACAAAACAAAGAAATAGCACAACAAAGGCAACAAAAATGGTACACGAATTGGAAAAATGCATTTTTGTATTGTAATAGATGGCAACACAAGCAAACAAGTTTGTGTCAAGGGGACCTCGTGCTTAACCTTTACACGGTCTTGGCACCACTCAACTACATACCTCTCCTCAAAGAGTAAGTTAAGCTTTTGATGCTCTGACAAAAGATTACATCAAAATGTTGAAAAAAATCATGTTGTATAATTACAATAATGCCATGGGCAATCCTCCCATACAAAATACACGTGTAACCCTACCCAAGACACACTTGATGGTGCTCTGATGGCATGTCATGGGCATGCTGAAGGCACTTGATGGCGTAAAAAAGTGGTCACTTATGACAATTTGGATAGGAGTGGCCAACAAATGGGAGTTGTCTGACAATGTGTGAGTGAGTCCTTCGTGTCAATCTTCGATTGGCTCGGAAATGTAGACAATAACTTTTGAATTTATAATGTGGGAAAACTTCATTTCTGGTTTGCAATTAATCTAATTACCCTATTCAAAAAATGTAAGAGGATTATTTATAAATAAACTATTAGAAAATTATCTTTATAGTTATGTGGTGATGATACTACTCACATTATGCCCTAAATTGAATAATAAAAACATATATAAAAATAAATAAATAAATAAATAAATAGAAAGTATGAATCTATACAAGAAAAGGCCATGCAACCCATTTCTCTTATACTATATATTCATTATATTAAACAAAATTGTATGCAATAGATGTGAATTATTGATAAATATTACTAATGAAATGGCTAAAATAGAATATAAATAATAAATAATAAAAGAATGAATATCCAACCTATGAACACCAACCAAGTCAATAGGTTTGATGGCTCACTCAACCGGACAAATTAGACAAATCACCGAGTCATTGACTGAGTCAATGGCTTTTTGCATATGAATGATTAAATAGAAACTTAGTCATGATAAAAGACAATGTAATTTTATTTTGGGAAAATTCTCGATTAGTACCATGTACTTAAGTGCCTAGTGCCACTTTGATCCCTGAATTTTAAAATGCAACAATTCAGTATTTGAACTTTCAAAACGTGACAATCCAGTACTTGTCATTAATCAACAGTTAACCCGTTGTTAAGTGACATTTGAAAAGGATACAAATGCTTGCTTCTTCCATTCAATAAAGTTGGGGTTACGTTTGAGTGGGCATTCTAGTGACCCCAACTTTCTTGAATAGAAAAGGCAAGGATTTTTTTGTCAACATTTAAATAGTTGATAGAGAAAATTAGATAACACTTGAAGGGCATTTGTGTCTTTTTAAAATATCACTTAACGACAGATATTGGATTGTCATGCTTTGAAAGTTTGGGTACTGAATTATCACATTTTAAAGTTCTAGGACCAAAGTGACACTAAACCCAAAGTATAGGGTTAATCGGGAATTTTCCCTTCTATTTTTACATAGAGAGTTTATTTTGGACATACCTAATGTTTCTTGGGAGAATGACAGTTCAGCCTAGGGTCAGAATTTTTAGGCCCAAAGTACAATTGGGGTAGGTGCCAGCTCGGAACTGATGCCAATTCACGGGTGGGCATTGGTGTATAGAGTGGGGTTTTTGACATTTTGAATGTTTATAGGTCTGCAATAGAATTCAGAAATCTGCATTGGGTCGGTTCGTATTTTTTCGATGTTTCTTTCTTAATTGTACCATCTCATAATATTCCCTAATTGTACCATCTTAAATGTACTCACCTTGGTTGAGTGTGTGGAGTGAGTGGTGATAGAAAATTAAAATGATTAAAGTTTTTTGGAAAATTCCCAATTAGTACCTTGTAATTTGGGCTTAGTGCCTTTTTGGTCCCCAAACTTTGAAATATGACAATTCAATACCCAAACTTTCAAAATGTGTCAATCCAGTACCTGTCGTTAACCAGCTGTTAAGTGGCATTTGAAAAGACACAAATGCCCTTCGAGTGCCATCTAATTCTCTTTATCAACAATCCAAACATTAATAACAAATGAGCAGTTCCAAATCTTTGTTTCTTCTATTCAAAAAAGTTGAGGTCACCAAAATGCCCATTGAGATGTGATCCCAACTTCCTTGAATAGAACTGA